TGCCCAGGCGTTAAATTTTGTCCTCAAGCTTTCCACGGCTCCAGGAGCGTCTCGGCGCAAAAGGACTGGAGATGCGCTTTTTGGAAACATCCCCCCCTTCCTTGCTGAAAGGTTTGGCCAAGCGCGCGTCGAATCCATTGGGAAATTCGTGTGCATGTCGTTCTTGGACCCTCTCTTCTCGCTCCCTCGCCCATGGCTCAACGCTCTTCTCTCCTTGCTCATCTCCCCTCACTCCTCCTCGCTCGTTTCTCCTGCCCCCTGGCACCTTCCGCACCCGCAGGGCCTCTCACGGCCTCGGAGTGGCCCGGCGCGCCTCGAAGACGGCCCACTTATCTCAAGTTCAAGAATTATATATCTTCGTTGCGGTGAAGAATAATGATTGGCGCTTGGGCGGCCACATATTGCGCGTCTACATCGGGCGAAGAATAGCGGGCAGCCGTGAGGGTGGGGTGGGAGGGGGTTGGTAACGCAACGCTCCATTACAAGATGACCTCAAGACGGTCCCAAGCAGCAAGCGGAAGCTAGCGGCAGCAAGCGGCAGCGAACGGAGGAGCAAGCAGTGAAGGAAGCAACAAAGAGATTAGGTGATCAGGCTACGAGCTGTCAGCATTGCAGACAAGAGGTCGCACATACAATCGAACCTCACTCTTGCATGCGAGAAAGCTTTCGTGGCCGCCGGGGGAATTGTGACTAGATCGGGCCGCATGCTGTGGACGTAGTCCACGGGCCTGTCCTACCAGTCAGCTACAGCGCTGGGATCAGCGCGTGCGAGAAGGGCGAGCAGTGGCAGCCAGCGCTGGCGCTGCTGAGCGAGCTGCGGGAGGTGACGCTGGAGCCCAACGTCACTACAACACCGGGCAACATGCGTGCCTGGGGGTACTCCCGCGCCGGGCTCGCGGGCGCGGCGCCTCGGCGGCTCCGCTCGTGGCGACCGCGCCGAAGGGCCCTCGGTGAGCCCAGAGGGCCCCAGGGGAGCCCCCCAGAGGGCCCCAGAAAGCCCACGCGAGCGCGATCCGAGGGACCCCAAACCCAGCTACACGAGAGTCTCCAGGAGGGCTGCGAGGGCGCGAAGCGATCGATATTTGCTGCGCTTCTCGGTGATTCCTCTGTTGCCCGCCCCTTCGGAGCCATGACGCCACATGCGCCACCGCAGGCCTCCGCCCTGGGCCCAGCGCGGCCCCGGCGGCTCTCAAAAGAGCCCTCAGCACGTCCCCAAAGGCCCTCGAGACAGCTCCAGAGGCTCCCAGGACGAACCAAGAGGCCCTCAAGACCGCCCCCCGGGGGGCCCAAAAGGGCAAACTCCAGGGCTCTTCTGGCCTCATCGAGACCAATGCGGCACCGGAGGTCACCGGATCGGGCCCGACGCGGCTCCCGCGGCCTCCCAGGAAGCCTCCGAGACAGCCCCAGACAAGGCCCAAAGGCCTCTGGAGGCTCGCCAAACGCCCAGGACTCTCGCACGGCGCGTGTCCCAGGAGGTGTGGGGTATGGTTTTCTTCCACTTAGGCCCCCTTATTCCTTCTCCCCCCTGACCATGGATGTCTTCAGGACCCCCCCAGGGGCTCTACCGCACATTGCCACTTCGTGGACGGCCGCCTGACAGGAACAAAACCATACCCCGCACCTCTTGGGACGCGTCTCGGGCGGGAGGGGTTCCACTGACACCTCTGGATACGAGCCGCCAAACGCCCAGGATTTTTTTTGTTGTTTAAAGCAAACCCTCTCGCACGGCGCGTGTCCCAGGAGGTGTGGGGTATGGTTTTCTTCCACTTAGGCTCCCTTTTCCTGCTTCCCCCTGGCCATGGAAACCTTCACGCCTCCCCCCCCGGGGTTCTACCGCAGATCGCTACTTCGTGGACGGCCCTCCAGATTGGAAAAAACCATACCCCACACCTTTTGGGACGCGTCTCGCGCGGGAGGGGTTTCACAAACACCTTAGGATACGAATCGCCAATCGCCCAGGATTTGCTTTTTCAGCAACCCTCTCGCACGGCGCGGGTTCCAGGAGGTGTGGGGTATGGTGCTGTCACGCTGGCTCCATGTTCCCTCTTCCCCCTGAGCATGGAAGCCTCGAGGGCCCCCCCCCCGGGGGCTCTACCGCAGATTGCTACTTCGTGGACGGCCCTCCTGGTTGGAAACAAATCCTACCTCACACCTCTTGGGACGCGTCTCGCGCGGGAGGGGTTCCAGAAACAGCTTAGAATTCGAGTCGCCAAACGCCCAGGATCCTTCTCTTTGCAACCCCTCTCGCACGGCGCGTGTTCCAGGAGGTGTGGGCATGCTTTTTTGTATCGGACTCCGTGTCCCTCTTCGGCCCACTGCTGCTATCGCCGATGCTGCTGCACCCGCTGTTGCTGCTGCTGTTGCAGGCGAGGGGGCCGCGCTGTTGCTGATGCTCCTGCTCCTGCTCCTGATGCTGCTTCTGCCAACGCTGTGTCCGCTGCTGCTGCTACTGCAATCGCTTCCCTGGGCGCCGACAGAACCAACGAACACCCAGCTCACCCTGGAGCCCCAAACAACAGCAGGCACCCCTTCAATGCTGTGGCAACAGCCTTAGGCTGTACTACAATTCCGGGCGAAGCGCGTGCGAGTACAAGAAGCAGTGGCAGCGCCCCGGGCTGCCCAGAGAGCCCGCGGGCCGCCCGGAGAGCCTCTGGGGGAGATGCCCCTGGAGCGCTCGCCGACGGCTCCAGGACCCCCAGATCGCCCCAAGACGGCATGACAGACGCCCAAGAGGGCCGAAACCGACCCGATCGGAGCCCCATGACAGCCCAAAAAGGCCTCAGAGAGGGCTCCCGAAGACCGCGTGGACGGCGCCAAGAGGCAATACTTGTGCGTTATCCGAAAGTTTCGAGGGTTTTCCAAGATGACTTCAAAGGCCCTGACGAGCCCACCAAGACGGCAAGCGAGGGCCCCAAGACAGCTTAGAACAGGCCCTGGAGAGCTTCACGGAGCTTCAGTTGGCCCCCCAACACGCCCCAGTAGCTGCCCAGGAGGGCCAAAACCAGGCCTCCCAGACGGCACCATACCTCAACCATGGCCCAAAGATGGCCTAATCGGCCAGGGCACGGCCCCAGCAGAGGGCCCACGAGATCTCCGACGCCGGAAATTAAGCACCTACTGGTGTGTCTGTGTGTGATGGTGTGTGTGTGTGTGTGTCTGTGTGTGTCTGTGTATGTTGGTGTGTGTGTGTGTGATGTGTGTGTGTGTATGTGTATGTGTGTGCGTGCGTGCGTGCGCGTGCGCGTGCGCGTGCACGTGCGCGTGCGCGTGCGCGTGCGCGTGCGCGTGCGCGTGCGCGTGCGCGTGCGCGTGCGCGTGCGCGTGCGCGTGCGCGTGCGCGTGCGCGTGCGCGTGCGCGTGCGCGTGCGCGTGCGCGTGGCGCGTGCGCGTGGCGCGCGTGCGCTGCACGTTGCCGCGTGCGCGCGTGCGCGTGCGCGTGCGGGCGCGTGCGCGTGCGCGTGAGCGCGTGCGCGTGCGCGTGCGCGTGCGCGTGCGCGTGCGCGTGCGCGTGCGTGTGCGTGTGCGTGTGTGCGTGCGTGTGCGTGTGCGTGTGCGTGTGCGTGTGCGTGTGCGTGTGCGTGTGCGTGTGCGTGTGCGTGTGCGTGTGCGTGTGTGTGTGTGTGTGCGTGTGTGTGTGTGTGTGTGTGTGTGTGTTTCGAGTGTTTTCTACGCGCTCGTCATGGCGGGCCTGGAGCGGCCCCACGCGGCTTCAAGCATTTGCACGATCGTTCCAAGATGGCCCCAGAGGCCCGGACGAGAGCACCAAGACGGCGCATGAGGGCCTCAAGCTGGCCCAAGATCCACTCAGGTGGCCTCCCAAGATTCCCCAGGAGCTCCCCGAGAGGGCCCGCACTGGGCTTCCAGACAGCTCCAGGCCCCCACCAAGAGGCCCCCAGGACGGCCCAAGCGGGCCCACGTGGACCCCGATGGCGGCCCCGCGAGGCCAAAACCAAGCACCGACCTTGTATTTTCGAATGGTTTTGTAGACTCTCCCAGTGGCATGCCCAGAACGGCCCCGCGCGGCTCCAGGCACTCCTACCATCACCCCAAGGTTGCCCACGATGCCCCGACGAGCGCACCAAGACGGCCTACGAGGCCCCCTCCCAAAGCCGGCCCCAGACGGCCTGACTGAGCTTCAGCTGGCTCCACGACAAGCCCCCAGAGCTGCCCATGAGGGCCCCAACCGAGCTCCAACACGGCCACCGATCTCACCATGGCCCCGTGACAGCCGTGGAGGCCCCTGGGACGGCCCTGGGGCCGCACAGTGGCCTGAGAGGGCTTCACGAGCTGTTGCAGAGAATGGGGCCCCGGAATGGCCGCAGGAGGCCCTGGAGTGGCCCAAGGGGGCCCCAGATGGCCCACGAGGGCACCCCAGCACGTCTCGAGCCCCCTCCCGCCGATTAGGGGCGACAAGGGGACCTTCTCCTATCTTCTCTGCCTCGGCCTCCTTCTCCTCCTCCTCCTCCTCCTCTCTTCCTCCTCCTCTCCTCCTCCTACTCCCTCCTGGGGGCCCACCCCCTCTCCGGCACTCCTCCTCCTCCTCCTCCTCCTCCTCCTCCTCCTCCTCCCCCTCCTCCTCCTCCTCCTCCCCCTCCTCCTCCTCCTCCTCCTCCGCCTCCTCCTCCTCCGCCTCCTCCTCCTCCTTCTCCCCCTCCTCCTCCTGCAAGAGGACGCAGCGAGACTGGACTACGGGCTTCCCGCAGCCGTCGATGCCACGAGAACGCTCCTGGGACCACTACCGAAATAGCCCAGACCCTTCCAAGATACTGGCAGACAGCCTCCAGCCTTAAAGCCTGGAGCATGCAGTAAACCCGTGAGCTGGTCGGTCCTGAACGCGCACGTGTTGCCTGTGATCGACGGCACGTGGGGCGTTCGGGACCCAAGCCTTGCCCTGCCAGCCGTGGATCTTCCACGGGTTCGCACTTGTCAGCTACAACGCTGGGATCAGCGCGTGCGAGAAAGGCGAGCAGTGGCAGCGGGCGCTTGCGCTGCTGAGCGAGATGTGGGAGGCGAAGCTGGAGCCCACTGTCATCAGCTACAACGCTGGGATCAGCGCATGCGAGAAAGGCGAGCAGTGGCAGCCGGCGCTGGCGCTGCTGAGCGCGATGTGGGAAGCGAAGTTGGAGCCCACTGTCATCAGCTACAACGCTGGGATCAGCGCATGCGAGAAAGGCGAGCAGTGGCAGCGGGCGCTTGCGCTGCTGAGCGAGATGTGGGAGGTGAAACTGGAGCCCAACGTCATCAGCTACAACGCTGGCATCAGTGCGTGCGAGAAGGGCGGGCAGTGGCAGCCGGCGCTGGAGTTGTTGAGCGAGATGTTGGAGGCGAAGCTGGAGCCCGACATCATCAGCTACAGCGCTGGCATCAGTGCGTGCGAGAAGGGCGGGCAGTGGCAGCCAGCCCTGGCGTTGTTGAGCGAGATGTGGGAGGCGAAGCTGGAGCCCGACGTCATCATCTACAGCGCTGGCATCAGCGCCTGCGAGAAGGGCGAGCAGTGGCAGCCAGCGCTGGCGTTGTTGAGCGAGATGCGAGAGGCGAACCTGGAGCCCAACGTCATCTATCCTACAATACCGCGGACAGCGCGCGCAAAAATGGCTAGCGGTGGCATTGAACCGGTCCCCTCCGGGCCAGTCCGGGGAAGCCCCCCGGGGCCCGGGCCGCTCCGGGCGGGCCCTCGGAGCCGCCTCGGTAGCCTTCGGAGAGGCCCCGATGGCGCAGGAGACGGCGCAAGACTGCCGAACATGGCTCCCAGACAGCCCAAGAGGCGCCCATGACGCCCCAGGACCGCCCCAAGAGACTCCCAGGCAGCGCTTCCGGAGAACGACTTCATACATTTTCGCGTTGTTGTTTCTAATGTTTTTCGTGCTCTCACTTTTTACGGCTTCAGCTGCCCAAGACGGCCTCAGGGGCCTTCCAGATCGTGCCAGGGCGGCCCCAGAGGCTACCAAGAGCGCCCCACGATGGTTTAAGAAAGCCCCAAGACGGTTCCAAGACGGCCCCTAAGACGATCCTGGAGGGTCCCAAGAGAAGTCCCAGAGAGGCCCCACGGGTCCCAGAGGACCCGCCTGAAGCCCCAGGATAGGCCCAAGCAGGCCCCAGGAGGCCCCAGAAGGGCTTTCAGAGCGGCTTCAAGTGGATTCCAAGAGAGCCCGCTAGCAGGTGGAGTGACGCCACTTGCTTGTGGATTCGCTCTGGCCCCACTTGGGGCACTTGGGGCGCTCTCCGAGCCCTCCCGGAGGCCCTCTCAGTCCCGCCTGAAGCCGCACGGTAGGCAGGAGCGGGCCCCACGAGACCACAAGGAGGCTTCCAAGACTGTTTGCAATGCATTCCAAGAGAGCCCAAGAGCAAGTGGAGTGACGCTTGGGCCCTCTCGGGGTGCACTTGGGGCCCTGGTGGAGCCTGCCAGGAGCGCGCCTGACTTCAGCCTGAAGCCTCAGGGTAGGCCCTGAGTTCATCGTCCGCATTCGATCATACATGCGACCAGACAGACAATCCCACAACATGTTAGATGTGGCCGACGCCATCGTCGTTCGTCCACACTCGACGAGTACTGCGACCAGAAGATTTGCTTACTTCTGTTTCGCAGGCACGCCCTACAAGCACTGCCCCCCTCAACGTCGATAGCGGTGGTTTCACCAAGCGTACACACTAGTCTTACGTCGGGCCTGTCCCTCCACAAGAGGAATATTCAAACATAGCCACAAACAGTCCAGGGGCGATGTTTTGACCATTTGTGAGCATTTTTGGTGTATTTTTTGTTTTTAAAATATTTGTCATTTTCCGCCCAAGATCCCCCTATAGGGGGACAGGCCCGACATACTCGAACACTAGTCGAACACTAGTCAGCTACAACGCCGCGGTCACCGCATGTGGGAACGGCGGGCAGTGGCAGCGGGCTCTCGCGCTGCACGGGGAACTGGGGGAGGCTACGTTGGAGCCCGACAGCTTCAGCCACACCGCCGTGATCAGCGCGTGCGGCCACGGCGGGCAGTGGCAGCAAGCTCTGTCAATGTTCGACGAAGTGCTGGGCTCACAAATTGAGCCTAGCACTGTCGTCTTCGGTGCTGGGATCATAGCGTGCGAATCCACTGGGCAGTGGCAGCAGGCTTTGGCTTTGCTCCGTGATCTGGACAAGGCGATGCTGGAGCGGGACATGATTTGTTGTAATGGGGCGATCAGCGCTTGTGGGGAAGCTGGGCAATGGCAGCAGGCGCTGCTTTTGCTCAGCGGCTTGCAGGAGGCGGCGATGGAGCCCAACACTGTCAGCTGCAATGCTGTCGTGGCCGCGTGTGGGAAATTCGGGAATCGGCGGCATGCATTGACATTGCTCTCCGAGGCGGGGGAGGCGAAGCCGGAGCCAGATGCATTCAGCTACACCGCTGGAATCGCTGCGTCCTCGGATGGTCAATGGCAGGTGGCACTGTCTTTGTTCAGACAATTCGAGGAGGCGGTCTTGGAACCAAACATTGCGAGCTTCATTTTATCAGCCAGCGCCTGCGAGAAGTGCGGGCAATGGCAGCGAGCGCTGCTGCTGCTCCTCGAGATGCGGAGCGCTGAGCTGGAGTCCGATGCCAACGCCTACAACCTAGCGGCGATGGTGTGCGAGAAGAACGGGCAGGCCCGACAGGCGCTGCGGCTGCTCCGAGAGCAGCGGGAGGCGGCGCTGGACCCCGACGAGATCGGCTACAGCAGCGCGATACGCGCGTGCGGGCTGGGCCACTTCGTTCATGCGCAGTGCCGCTGTAGCGATGACCTCGATGAGTGTGCCCTGCGCACCATCAGGACAGGCTTCGGGCACATCAGGCTGCGAGCACGCTGTGCGGCGAGCGACCGCAATAGAGGGCCACATGCGAACCCTACCCCTACCCCCCACGATTTCTGAGGGGGAGGGCGGGGTTCACTTCGTTCGGGAGCTCCCGAGCGAAGTGAACCCCACCGTCCCCCTCAGAAATCGTGGGGGGTAGGGGTAGGGTTCGCCTGCGGCCCCCTGCGCAAGATGGGGCCGGGAGCATCGGCCGAGCGCGATACCTCGTGCCGCGAGCTGCGGGGCGCCGTGGCGTGGAGATCGGCGGCATCCTTCGAGCCCCGCAGCCCAGCACGTGTGCCTCCCCACCTCTTCCTCCCGTCCTCCTCCTGCGACTCCTGCTGCTGCTGCTGCTGCTGCTGCTGCTGCTCCTCCTCCTCCTCCTCCTCCTCCTCCTCCTCCTCCTCCTCCTCCTCCTCTGTCTGCTCTCCACCGCCTCCTCCTTCTTCCTCCTCTCCTCCCCCGGTGTGCCTGTGATGCGGCAGTCCAATGCAGTCCCCCCCCACGTCCCCAGACAGCCCGGGCACCCCAGACAGCCTGGACAGCCGACCGAAAGCAGGCCCAGCCAGCCCCGCAGAGCCCTGGGCTGGCCTGGACCGCCTGGGCGGTCCTTAGCAAGGTTCTTGCGGGTTCCTACGACGACGACGACGCCGACGGGCCCCAACGACGCACTCCTTTTTCGACGCCGACGCCAACGGCGACGACGGCGACACCACAATCAGTAGAAATGAAACGTGTTCATCACTCGGATGAATATGTGTGTATGTGTATGTGTAGCTACACATACACATACACATACACACATACACATACGCATATGTGCATACACATATACATACACATAGACACATACACACACGCATATGCGCATACACATACACATATACGCATACACACATACACATACACATGCACATATGCACATGTATATGACGCCCACATATGTGTATGTGTATGCGTATGTATGTAGGTGTATGAAGACGTATATGCCTCCGCCTGCTCGTCTTATCCTCCTTCCTCCCCCTCCTCCTCCTCCCCCTCATCCTCCTCCTCCTTAGCCCCCCCCGCAGTAGCATGACTCCTCCTCATTATCATCATCCTCCTCTCCTCCTCCTCCTCATCCTCCTCCTCCAACCCTGTTTCCCTGTCCCTTGCCTCCTCCTCCGCCTCCTCCTCCTCCTGCTCCTGCCCCTTCTACTCCCTCCTCCTGCTCCTCCTCCCTCGCTTCCCCCCCTCCCTCGCTCCCTCCCTCCCTTCCTCCCTCCCGTCCCTCCCGCCCTCCTCCATCCTCCCAATTCCCTCCCTCCTCGCCGTCCCTGTCTATCTACTTCCCTCCTCCTCCTCCTCCGCCTCCCCCTCCTCCCCCCGCGATCCTAACTCCTCCCGCTTCCCTCGCCCCCCCCCCTCCTCATTCCTCTCACTTCCGCCCCCCCCCCCCCCCCCCCTCCTCCACCCCGCCTGGTAGGAGGAGGAGGAGGAGGAGGAGAGGAGGAGGTGGAGGAGGAGGAGGAAGAGGAGAAGGAGGAGGAGGAGGAGAAAGAGGACGAGGAAGAGGAGGAGGATGAGGAGCAGGAGCAGGAGCAGGAGGAGGATCGCTATGAAGCACCCGAATCTCTATGAAGCACCCGAATGCGTTGAGACTGGCTTTAATCCTCCTCCTCCTCATCCTCCTCATCCCCCTCCCCCTCATCCTGCGGTTGCTGATGCTGCTGACGCTGCTGCTCCTCCTTATCATCGACCCCATTCTCATCCCCACCCTCGTCCTCATCATCGTCTTCGAGTTTTCCGAGCGGCGCCCAGCCGTGGCGACGCGCAGGGCCCTCGATGGGGCCATATGGGGCCTCGAACCTCGATCCTCGATGGGGCCATATGGGGCCTCGAAGGTCCATGGGGTCTCAAGTCGATAAACTGTAACTTCGATCGAAAACCTCGAACCTCGAATTTCGATCGAAACGGCGACGACGGCGGCGGCGACGGCGGCGGCGGCAACGGCGATTGCGACGGCGACGGCGACGGCGACGACGACGACGGCGGCGACGACGACGACGACGAACGACGACGGCGACGAAGCCAACGAAGACAGCGACGACCCGACGACGGCGACGGCGACGACGGCGTCGACGACGGCGGCGGCGGCGACGACGACGACGCGTCCGCCGAGCCGCGTCCAGCCGCGGCGACGAGGAGGGCCCCCAAGGAAAACACAAACAAAATGCGCTGCCCCCGCCCCCCATGGGTGTTGTAGTACTTGTTGTCGTCGTCGTCCTGGCGGGGCGCGGTCGTCGTCGTCGTCGTCGTCGTCGCTCCCGCCAGCAGTTGCCCCCCCCTCCCCACTCCCGCCGCCGGCGGACGCCGGCTGGACGCCGTCGACGAGGCGCCGCCGCCCGCCGCCGCGCGCGCGGGGGGAGGGAGGGAAAGGGGGGAGAGGGAGAAGGCGAGATGGAGAATGATGATGATGAAGGGGAATAGCAAGGAGAAGAAGAGGAGGCTCAGGAGGGAGAGCGAGGCGGAGAAGGAGGAGGAGGAGGAGGGGGAGTAGCAGGAGGAGGAGGAGGGAGGACGAGGATGAGGAGGAGGAAGAGAAGGAGGAGGAGGGGGCGAGGGAGAGGGCGGCCCTGCTCGGGGCGGGGGGGGGCCTCCTCCTCCTGCCGTTTCTCCTGCTCATCCAGCTGTTCACCGCCCTCCTCCTCCTCCTGCTCCTCCTCCTCCTCCTCCTCGTCCTCCTCATCATCGCCATCATCATCATCTTGATTATCATTTCCCTCCTCCCCATCATCATCGTGATCGTCGTTTGCCTCATTCTCTACCGGCGACCTCCCTGCGGCGACGATGATGATGATGAGGAGGTTGAGGATTATGTTGATGATGATGATGTTTATTGTTTTACTGAATACCGTTCCTCGACCGACCCCTGTCGAGCTTGGAGTTGTAAGCAAGAAACGCGGGCAACTCAAATACGTGCTTTGCGTGCGCGGGCATAGCAGTCTTAATTGCAGACACCTCCACAGCAGTAGCTAGGCCTAGAACTCCAGACTTCATTTTGGCAGCGTGCCGCGCTGCCTCGAACTCAGCAACTGATGCGATGATGGCCCACTTGCTCTGGTCGCTCTGGGCGGCCTTATCCAACAAACGTGCAATGCCAGGCTTCGCGGCCCTAAACCTGGCCGATATCCAGATCTCTCTATTCACCAGAGACGCGGCTGCGAAAAACGTCAGACACGGGCCTTTCCGTAGGCCTTGGAACACTTCGGGCGTGACCAGACTGCCCCCGAGGATCCGGACGCACACCTCAACGAACTCAGGGATCTGGGACACGTCGGCCGCCACGACGACGCGAGCGACCGCGTCGCCTGCAATCATCGCTGGCAAAACGCGCATGCGCAGTGCAGCAGCCTGCCTGTCGCAGGCCTCAGACTGGTGAAGAAAAAACACAGCTTGGCCTTGGAGGTCACCAAGGTCGCCAGGTCTAAGTTGCTCTCGCTGGCGTGCTGCTTTCCTGGCCGCCGCCACAGATCGTTTTTTCTCTTCAGCTGTCTGCGCGGCTGCCTCCTCGACCAAGTCTGCATCTGGGTTGAAAACATGACCGGCATGAACTGCCTCCCTCAAGCGGTGGCCCCGCTTCGCCATCTGGAACGCAAGCTCCTTGTCGTGCTTAGTTGTCCACCCAGGCAGGACGGCAGATCCAGCAGCATCGATCTTGTCGAGGGCATCGGCCACCTCGACGGACTCCGCCACCTCGATTGCAGCTTGACGTCGCGCATGCACGAAATCCTTCCTGGCGAATTTGCAATGGGTCTGGCCCACGGAGCCGCCCAGCTTGCGTTTCGCAAGAACGCCAAAATCAAATCTGCGACCCCGCCCGTCCCCAGGACGGCTCACGCCCAAGCACTCCCGCCAGATGACGCGGGCTCTCACGATGACGTCAGACAACTCCTCGGGGTCCTCGGGCGTGTCCAGGACGACTTTGATGACGTCGTCCTCCGTGGAGCCCACGCCGTTCAGGCGCTTCGACCCGAGCACCTCGTCAATCTTGGAGAAGTCCTGCTCGACCTTGGACGTGCAGGCCCTGAACATGGCCAAGCGGTAGATCCCTTCCCTGATGGTGTGCGTCGGGTGCGCCGACGACATGGACTTGCGTGACTCCGCGCGGCGTATGGCCGCGATCCAAGAATCCAAAGTGTTCGCGCCAGTCTGCGTCCTGTGTTGCCGGGCCACTGGTGTGAGGGCGTCCAGCTCGTTCCTCAGGTCAGCCTCGCCCGCGCCCATGGCGTTCGCGAGCACAGCGATGTCGCGGCGTCGCGCCGCCTCGTGCTCGCGGCCGCCGCGCCTGGAGCAAGAGGCAACAGGATGGGAGATGCGGCGCTGCTTAATGCCCGCCCCCCCTCTGAGGGGGGGGGGGGGAGGGGGGGAGGGGAGGGCGGGCGGAGAGCGGCGGCGAGAGGGGAGGGGAGGAGAGCGAAGAGGAGGAGGAGGAGGAGGAGGAGGAGGAGGAGGAGGAGGAGGCAAGTGCGGCGGAGGCTACATGGGGGTTGATTTGCTGTTGACTGCTCCGTCGCTCGTCGCTCGTCGGTGTCCTCGCCTTCCTCATCCCATTCCTCCGCCTACTACCCCTCATCATCATCACCATCATCATCATCATCATCATCCTCATTATCCTCATCCTCCTTATCCTTCTCCTCCTCCGCATCCTCCTCCTTATCCTCATCCTTATCCCTCTTACTCGTCATCATTTCACCATCTCACGCCTCCCTCATACTTCAGACCGTCGCCCTCGCCCCCGTGCGAGAGTTATCGCCCACTCCGGACCTGGATGCCGCATCGGCGTCCAGGTTGAACACGGAGAACCGCTGAATAAGCTCAAAGTCGGGAAACTCCGCGCGCATCACGTGCACGCACAGCTTGACCCAGCGAGACAGGCTATGCAGGCAGCTCTGGATGATAGCCTGAGGGACGCCGTTGCGGTCCCCGATCGTCTTGTAATCGGAACTATCGGTCCCCGACGGGACAACTATCGGAAACTGCCTCAGGCAATCC